TTGGTTTGGCACATCATTATTTTCAAACTTATTTGGCTATTTCAACATTTATTAAGTGCCAGATATTTACAACACATTGGGGGAAATGCAAAAGTGAATGCAAGCTCGTCCCTGCCCTTGAGAAGGTCAACCTGGAGGAAGGAAGCAGCACTGCCAGAGTACGTGTTTTAGAAGAAAGAGGGTGACAATTTTCACAGAAAAGCCCTAAATCAGAAGAAATTATTTCTAGCAAGAGGATCAACAGTAGCTCAATATGATTATGATTGTTTCATTTCTAGATGCAAACTGCTTTATATCATAGAGAGATTTTCAAGTTCATGTTATCATTTCTTTCTCATAAAAACAAATAAATCAACAAAGAAAGACAGTATGATCTCCATTTCATAGAAAATATTTTAACTGATTTCAAAATTATGAAACTAAGAACCTAAACCAGATCTGAGTCTAGATTCAAAATTACTCTCACCATATTATAAGTTATATTCTTTTCTAGAAACACTGAATCTTAACATGTGACTATTGATTCCAATAAATTTAAATTTATTTACCGTGTGTGGAAGTTAACTACCTTCTTTCTCACTCTGATTTTTGTTCCTGGTGAGATCATCTCTCATAATTAGGCCACTGTAGTTTCTATTCTTCCTTATTTAAACTTCTATTCTTGTTCAAATAAAATTAATTTTGCTCGAATCGTAGATAATGCATGCTTATTGCTGAAAAGATTAAAAGAAAATACTGATAATCCAAAGAAAGCCATTATCAACATGTTTCCTACTGATTATTTATAAAATACATTTTATTATTCATAACAATTCATTCTGATGTTCTGCAGAGATTTTTGGTTTTGATTTATGCTTATTCTCACATCACTGGAATTTCTACATGGGATTCATCCCTTTTAGATTTATTTTACAATCCAAATACCAACCTCTTTTACTCCATTTTAAAAGTTAACGTAAGCATTTATGATTTTATTCCCAGTGTACCTAGAGTTCCATATTTCCTGTGCTGTGTCTTCGGTAACCTCAGTATCCCTAATCGTCACCCAGTTTGCTCCACTACACTGACACCCTGGAAACCAGTGAAAAGGTCGAGTACTTCACTATCTACACACTGCCCACTTCTCTTCAGTGCCTGCCTTGCCTTCTCCACGCCTCCCACCTTCGTATTATCATATACATGTTTGCTTACACTCATTTGAACGTGCCCAAGATTGCCCAGATCCCCTTCTTGCAAATCTCCTGGAACCTCTTTCTCCCGCTGTTTTGCCCTTCTTTGTGTGGTGTACGAATTCCATGCTCCCTTTTCAGTTTAAAAGAATGAGTCATCTCACCTCCAGCCTCTTTCTTGGCCTCAGTCGTCTTTTCTATTACAGATATATGGCCAGGCTTTACATATATATCTTCTGCCGGGAAATGCACCCACAGAGAATACTTCACTCAAATGCACATCGTTTTTCCCTGAAAGTAAGGGTTTGTTCAGTGTTCACAATTGTAGGCAGATACTTGATGCAGAATTTAAAAAAAAAGAAAGACAATGAAAAACAAAGACAAGACCAACTAGCCAATCAGTGTAATGTCCCTTCTCTCTGCACACAACCATCTCCAGCTGTAGGCCCTTTATCTTGAGAGTTCATAGTACAATGCCCACACATAATTAACCCAAACAAACCTACTTCTGTAAAAAAATTTTGAAGACTAGCACAAAAGAGCACTTTTTGGTCCAGATCGTGTACTATTCTGATTTTTAAAAGACCACACAGAAGCCTCATCAGCAATATCCTAATTAAACTCATCAGTTCACAGATGTTTACAGGAAAATGATCAGCAAAAATTTTTCACCAAGAAATCCTGTTTCCTGAGAAGAGAGATGGGTGATAGTTATAGTGATGAGAACTAATATTAATAAATACTTTAATGTGCTTGCCACCTTATGCAGGCTAACTTATGTAAATCAACCCATTCAGGCAGTGACTACTGTCTTTCCTATTTTATAAATATCATAACTGAGGCTTAGAAGGTTACCTAGGATCCCCAAGGTCGCAGAGCAAAGAAGCACCATGGTCAAGGTCCAAATGTCAGTCTGCATGAAACAAAAGCGTGTGCTCTTAAATACTATGTTCTGTTGCCAAGATCATAGTACTACCTGCCCCGTGACTAAAACCTTTGTAAACGTCTTAACTCTTCAGTCACCAAATAAAGACCTCTGAATTACCAATAAATGTCACTATTATTTGCTCTGTATCCTCTCTTCCTACTTCTCACCTTTGCCCTTTCATTAATGTCTACATTCTGGTCTCACATTTTTCTTAGCCAGTCTCTTAACAAAGTCTCTCTCTGAAAATACCCTGAAAGTTTACATTTTCTTCATTGTTTTCCTGCCTACATTAAAAATGGCAAAAGGTGCAATTTATTAAGCCCTGATCCTATCTCTTTCTCAAATAATCTGATGAGCTGCCTACTTTCTACTCCCTAGAAAGACAGACAATGAACCCATTCAGAAACAGAGCTTTAGTGTCACTTGTAATTTAATCTTTCTAGCTGTTAGGGTCTTTTTCTGTTGGCTTGGCATCCCCATTTTTTTCTGTCATTGAGTTTATTGGTACATTTTAGGTATACAGTACAGTTACATTCATCATTGGGATCTTGTACCTTTACATGACAGGTCTTGGTTCTCATTTTTCCCCTTGTCCCTGCCCTCCCCTCACCCCCCATCCCCAATTACAAGCATTTTATTTCCATTTTCTCATTTTCTCATTGATTTTTCTTTTCCCCTATTACCTTTCCCCTACCCTTCCCACTTTCCCTACACCTTTAGCACGTTTCTTCCTATTTCACATGGTCAATTATCTCATTAGGATCCCCTTTAATGTTGTGCCACCATATTCTGTTTCTCTTCTCTTTTTGTCAGTGTAAATGTTTCTGGGGCCATGGTTACAGCTTCCAGAGCTTCCCTAAATAATCAGTTTATGAGAGAAAACACTCCACTTCCTTAAGTATTTTAAACTATTTTAAATGATCTTTGCTTATAAACTGTCATTTTTAAGGTACAACTGTACTACCTTAAATAATTGATTAATCAAATATATACGGAAGGCTTTGAAAGGATAGTGAGATACATTAAACTGATATTTTTCTTTCTTTCTTTCGTTCTTGATTTCTTTCTTTCTTCCTTTGCCTGTGTCAGTTTTTAGGGTGATGTAATATTCTGTGCAAGCAAGAAGTATAATGTTTACTTAGGCTTTTACTATACTTTGGAATTTATGTTACTTTTACATGTAAACTTTGAAGGAGACCCTGTTCTCATAAAGGTAGAAAGAAAAGATGATGTTATCCCTAGATTTAAAATGAGTGAATTCAAGAAAAGTCACATTTTCACCTTTCAGGCAGCCTGTGATCCAGTTTATGCTGTGCCAGTTGAAGGTTGTGTGACATCTTTAAGATCAACGCTTTAAGCATCAGTATTCCTCAGCCATAAAGTGGACCTAATTATTAGTGTCCACCTCACGGGTCTATAGAGAAGATAAATTATATGGTTTATGAAAGATACATGACAGCACTCCCCCAAGTACATAACAGAGTATATTAAGTTAAATGTGAGTTCTATTATTTTTATTTCTCCCTATTAAGGACTGTAATAATGTAGTTATGCATGCCATACTTGTAGTCCCTCTACATGGTCCCTTTTGGCATGAGTCAGTTTACTTATTAACTCATCTCACAAACAACTGTGTCCTGTTAGGATGTAGGTTTTGCAGGAGCAAGGACCTTGCTTATCTGGAAGAAGCTGTATAGATGAGGATTAAGAGCATGGTTTCTAGAGCCAACCTTTCTGCTTTTAAATTTTGCCTTTAACACTAGTTCAGTTTAGAACTAGCTCAGTTCTTTGGGCAAGTTTCTTAGCCTCTTGGATATACACTTCTCTCACCTGTAAAATGAATATTAGTAGCTATCTCATAGGCTATTGTGAGGTTTAACGCTATTAATATATGTAAGATAGTTTAGAATAGTGCCTGACTTTTTTTAGCAGTACCAGGGGTTGAACTCAGCACCTTCACAGTGAGCTATATTCCCAGCCAGTTTTAAAAATGCTGTAATTTAAGTCAAGATTTCACTAAGTTGTTAATGGGCACAGGCTGGGCTTGAATTTGTGACTGTCCTGTCTCTGATTCTCGGAGTGCTGCTGAGATTATAGGCCTGTACCACCTCATCAAGCAGGACTTAACATTTAGTATAGCTCTAGAAGTGCCTGCTGTGATTATGATTATCACACATTTGTTGTAACATTGTTTATTTAGCACTAAATTAGAAAAAAAACTAAATATACATAGTAAGAGATTAATTAAATTGTTGTCATAGCCATGTAGTAAATGCTCTGTGGAAAACAGAAATCACACTTTGAATAATATTAAAGTTATGGGTGAATAATCACTCTATATTTAAAAAGTAGGTTCCAAAAGAAACCTTTGTATAACATGTATATAATATGGTCATAGCAGCTTAAATAAATATATTTAAGTTCAAAATATTATGAATGATTTTTTATTTTCTTTAATCTTTTTTCTATTTTCTTCAAGTAACATGTATCACTTTTTTCAATCAACGAAACTATAGCATAAGACATTTGACCTGTTTTTTCCCTACAGATACTACTCTATTTTCATTATAACATGTCAGTTCTTCATACAAAAAGCAGACACAATGTTTTAAAATGACATCAAAGGGCCAGGGATTTAGCTCAGTGGTTCCACTGCCTCCCTTGAAAGTGCAAGGTCCCGAATTCAATCCCTGGTACAAAAACAAATAAATAAAATAGCATCAGTGACCACTTTATCTGTAGTGGCTAATGCTTAATCCATCTGTTCTGTCCAAGTATGATATAAATACTTAACTAATTTTTTCATTGTTATCTTCAAATAATATCATAATTCCAGATACCTTACTGTTTGAAGTTTCTCTTCAGCTGCATAGGTTTCTCTCTAATAATTTGTCTCCTTTCAGGTAAACAACTACAGTTTAGAAGAAGTAACACATGAAGAGGCAGTAGCAATATTGAAGAACACGTCTGATGTAGTTTATCTAAAAGTTGGCAAACCCACTACCATTTATATGACTGATCCTTATGGTCCACCCGATATCACTCACTGTAAGTACCACACTTAATGTCATCTTTCAGCAGCGTGCAACATGGCCAAAATTGGAATTCTACAAAATAATTTTTGAAGTTCTCTAGTTACGCCTTCACTCCTGTGTGGCTTCTGGAAATACTTCAAAGAATACTCCACACTTCATTCCCATGTTGTTCTATAGCATCTTACTGGGTGTTTTGAAGCTGGCAACCTCAGTGAGTTGGCAGGTCCACTACTGTTTAATGGTTTAATGATACAGATTGTGCATAGCATAGTTGCAGTTATGTAGGAGCAGCACATTCCAAAAGACTATTTCTCAAGCTCCAATACATGATCATTCTTATGCCACAGTATTTTCTCTTCCTAATTCAGATCTATAGAGTAACAGAATGGAAAAGAGATGCTAGCAAAATAAACCATAGCTAGCTCTGTGCTTATTCCTAGGAAGGGGATCTTATACTGAGCAATAAACTTGTGATCCCTAGTTATCATCATCGCTTTTACCTTTACCTGAATTTGCTACATTACTGGAAAGCAAGAAAAAATAATCAGATGCTCTGACAGTAGAGGTGGACTTAGGAAGAGAGTTCTGAATCAACAACAAAGATTAGCTGCTGTGCTGGGGTCCTCACAAAATCCAGAATGAATATAGTCACTATCATAAAATGTGGCCCCATATTTTCTATCCTGCTAAGAGGTCAACAAGAAATTTTTCTAAGGTTTTGTCTTTGGGCACTAAATTTAAAAACTACTCACTTTATATGTAAATTTAATAGATTGTTGACATAAGTAAGCTCACTCATTTTGAAATTATGAGTTTCGTTGTGAGTCTAGGAGCTCAGAATATCATCAGGACCTGCTACTAATTAGTACTGCAATCTAAAGCAAAGTGTTTAACCTCTCTTAGATTTAAATGTTTCTCTTCAGAAACATTTAAGGGTAGAATAATTTTGTTACCTGCCATTACATTAGCTATTGCCTTTCTTGATAGTGATTTTAAAATTACTTGTCACCCAAATCAATCAAACAACACACACACACACACACACACACACACACCCCGCAGACAGCAATCTGGAACTAGTCTTACCTTACGATAGGAAGGAATTTTAGCTTTCAGATTATTTTTGCAAACTGGACAAATTTAGAAGAATCAATGCTAAGAGTCTGTGAGTCATCTCATGAAGGGCCTACAAGGTCAATGTCAAAGAGAGAAAAGTTAGCAAACAAAACTTTCTATTCAGTTCAAGATGTGTTGAGCATATTAATATATATGTGATGCCTTGAAAGGTAATGTTGTGAGATGTAGAGAGGATACCATCATGCACTTTTTTCTAGGAGCTTGGTTGAAAAGTAAGCTAATTCAAATCATACACAGCTGCAATATTTGGTAGAATAAGATACATAAAGAGCCACAATATTTGGTAGAATAAGTGGTGTATATGCAATAGGAGAGGTAAAAAATACATTTCCTTTAGGGACACAAAGGAGAGAGATGAATCTCTACCTGGGTATGCTAGAAAAGTCTTCATGCAGAGGGTACCATTTGATGTGTGTTTTGAAGAGTTGTGCAATTACAACATTTGAGATAGGGAAGGAGAAATAAATTGTAGATAATTTCAGTGGAACAAAGGTAGAGATATTGGTTTTGTTTGAGGATACAGGATATGAGTAAGGGAGAATTGAAATAGATCAATTTTGGAAGAATGATGAAGGAGTTTATACTATAGTCAATAAAAGGTAGTAAAGGGAGAATGTTTAAATAAGAGAACAACATGAGTAAACCTGGATTTCAGGCTGGGCCTGATGGTGCATGCCTGTAATCCCAGCACTTGGGAGGCTGAGGCACGAGGATCATTGTGAGTTCGAGACCAACCTGGGCTACAAAGTGAGTTCCAGGTCAGGCTCAACTACATAGTGAGACCCTGTACCAAAAAATAACAACAACAACAAAACAAAAAAACCTGGATTTCATGAGGGCTTCATTTATAATGTATCAAGTGAATCTGAGGAGAGAGTGAAGCCAGGAGACCAGTAAGCTAGTGTGTTCCATTGCTTAAAAAGGTGATGAATTAAGGAGGCCGAATAGAAAGAAAAGGCAGCTTTTTCTGTGATGATAATATGGTGTAGTTTGGGAGAGAGTCTTGTATCAGAACTTATTCCTCAGGAGGCTTTTACTGTTGACGATTGAAGAATTATGTACAAAGAATGTGAGCTCTGCAATTTTCAGTAGAAAATTAATCATCATTCTGAAGACCTATGTGCTAGGTCTGTCCTCCAATTCTTCTGTTCACCTAAGTATACTAAATGGCTTTATTACAGATTTCGTATCCTAAAGGTCACCATGTATATATATATGAAATATAAACAAACACCAACTCCCACTTCCTGGAGAACAAGAAAATCCTTGGCATGTCGCAAAGCCATTCTATTTTTAACCTGTCCTCTGAAGTACAGCATGACAATGTTGAATCGCCCACATAACAGGTTTCATTTCATTTCTTTATTTTTTTCCCCATCTGGTAGCTTATTCTCCACCAATGGAAAACCATCTACTCTCTGGCAACAATGGCACTTTAGAATACAAAACCTCCCTGCCGCCTATCTCTCCGGGAAGGTACTCGCCAATTCCAAAGCACAGGCTTGTTGAAGATGACTACACCAGGTCAGCTATGCTTGTTGGTTAATCGGGTTTGATATGATTACAGTAAAGGTCACATTTGCCTAACATGTCAATTGTTGTCTTGGGGAATTACTAAAGCTTCTGAGTGTCATTCAAATTTATTATAGTCTTACCTCGAGTGGAAATCTGCAAACATTTGTAAATATATGTTATTGTCCTCTATTAGAAGGTAAAATAAAAATTCTTTAGGAAATTTGAATATATACTTATCCATTAACTGGTGATTTTAGACTTTCCATATCTGATCCCATTTGAGCTTTCTAGCTGTACTGTCAAACACATATGGTTACTTGAGGAGAGAAGATATTGTTGAGGTTCTAAAGGAAGGATATAACGTACCAATAGGAACCATCCACTTAGGTGAAGTGAGGACTGAAACTCTGCTGTTTGTATTCAAAATTCTATGTTCTTACTACCAATGGCCACATGCAGTTCATCCTCTCTGTAGTGCACTAACTATACAAGGGGTGCTCAAAAATGTACTCAAATTTGTACAGTCACATCTTAATAAACAGCACATTGTCATTATCCTCCCAAATACTCAAAATACCACCTCACTTAGAACACACTTATCCCATCATTCTTGGCAATATGTCTTTTATTTTAATACATTTTTAAATTTTTAAACATACACCATATTTTTATCACCCTCATTAATCAACCATGTATTGCATTTCCTGTCAAATAAAAACATTATAGCATGTCCTCATCCACCTTTTTCAGTGGATCTGGAATTATGAGACTGGTTACTCTTCTCCGAGTTCTGAATGACCATGAAAGGTAAACATTGTGAATCAGTTTAGGACACAAAGAAAGCAAGGACAGGAGAGTTAAAGACACTCTAGAAATAGAAAGAGAACTTCCAGGACTGCTTCAGATAGTGGCAAGAACAATGGGTTACATGTATTTAAATTGGGGAGGAGACTTGGAAGAGGATTAATGACAGTGTGGATTTTACTGTAATAAATTATTTTTAAATTTAAGCAACTGACCGCAGATGGTAGGTGAGAAGGAAAAGATCAAAATTAACTCCAAGTGATTTGAAATTGATACACCCTGTTAATTCCGAAGTGGAATAGGGCCATATTACAAGAGCAGAAAATGACATTACCAATCTCAAAAGTAAAGTCAAATTTATCTATCCAGCAGTCCTCTGAAAAAGCCAGGTCAGACAGTCAACAAAGAAGACCAACTTAATTCATTTATATTGAGTTTTTTTTTTTTTTTATGGTACTGGTGATCAAATTCAGGTCCTTGTGCTTGCAAGGCAGGCGGCGGAACCACTGAACCAAATCCCCAGCCCCAATTTAGTTCATTGAAATAAATGAATACATGAATTAATAAATAAATGAATTTGAATAAATAAATGAAGGTTAAATAAACATGGAGTAATTGACACATTAATGAATGAATGGGTAAATGAATAATAAGAAATTTATATTTTTCTTTATATTTTTATTGATTTTTGTTTTCAAAGTGATATACACTATACTCAAAGTAATATATACTTAATACATTTGGCAAAGAAATGCAAAGTTGATGAAGAAAAATCTCCCTCCAAAGGGCCCTAATGTGAGGTACCCAGCACGACAGTCTGCTGTGTTACAGCCTCTCTGTGCCCAGAAACGTCTACATAAATGCATACTCAAAGAAGGGTAAGGCTAGACATTGATTTTACAAAATGAGTTCATATTTCACACATTGCTCTGCTATTTGATTTTCTCCTTGAAAAATACTTTAACCGAAACTGAGATTAAACATAGATATGCACATTTATGTCTGTATATGTTGTGTGTTGACAAATGATAAAGATGGACTATTTGAGTTCTATATCCTGCTTTTCTAATTGAAGCCATTTGTCAGCCTTTGAAAAAGTAAACTTCCTGCTGGGTCATGTGCATTCTTTGGCCTTTCTGGTCTTTGCTATATCTTTTTAAATGATTAAGCATTTTCCATTTATTTTCTAATATCAGGTTTGCTGAAGTAGCTTGTTATATATTTAGCCAAGAAATGGAATGTTTGGAGGCTGAACATATGCATCTGTGGTGTAAATCAAATATAAATTTCCTCTGATGCTGAAATGTCTGATCTTTATGTTTTCAATTAAAATGAGGGCTTCAGCAAAGATAATCCTCACGGCTCTATAAATAATTGTGTAAATATAGGCACGTTTATCTACCAGAGCAATGATCTATTTGCTCTCGCCCTGTTGCTAATATTTGATATGATTTTAATTTGAAAAATTCATTTTATCTTAGTAGGCTCTGTAATAAATTAATGTTTATTAAAGCTTCTTCATAATCAAAACCCTTTGTTACCTGTTTCACCTGTCTCTAAACCTCCCCCAAAACCGAGAGAAATCCTTTCTTTCCCATTACAGGTATGTAGAATTAAAAATTCAAAGAAGTTGATGATACAGTTTTTAAATATAAGTTACCCCATGGCTTTAAAATCCTGACTACAAAAAAATATTTAAATTTTCTCTTGACTTTCAAAATGAAAATCAAGTCCTATAAAACTGTATTTATCAGAGAAATAATGCATCTGGAAGAAGATTTGAGAGTTTTAATGTGCCCGCAAGACAACTAGACCAGTCCTGAGACTTACCTCTATCTCTGGCTGTGAAATCATTTAATCTCTGCAAGCCTCAATTTCCTCATCTGCACAAGAGAATAGCAATTGAATCTATTTCAACAAGTTGTTATACTGATTAAAGGAGATAATTAATACTGTCTGGTCCATAATAAGAACTGAACGAATGTTATTTATTTAGTGTATGTATCTAGAGTTAGCACAGTTCCTCATCCAATTCAGAGATCTCGTGGAATGTTCTTACTTAGATGGTATCCTGGGAAGATAATTAATTCCTGTCTACAGTGAATGTGCCCTACTTTCTTCCTTCCTGTTTCTGGTCCTTCTCTTCTTCTACAGGGTGGTCTCACTAAATAAATCCGTGTAAAATCTTCTGAATGATGGTTGCCTGGTAAAATTGTGAAGAAAATTAAAGTAATTCACACATGTACGTGCCCCTCGAATGCTCTCTGACCATTGCTGGTCCTCTCATATGTGCCTGTGCTGTCGGCATTACCACAGGGCTCAGAAGTATTTGCTAATATTAATTGAATATTTCCTCCTAAGCAAGGGGCACTGCACTAGAAATGCAAAAATGAGTAATAGCACATAAGACCTACTATATGGAAACAAAAACATATGTAATCCAATGGATTATCCAGTGCCCATTCCCTGGTTATGCAGACCCTGCTTCTTAATGAAGTTTTTCAAAAAATCTAATTTATTGAGTGCGTCCAAATATTGAGATTATATATTCTGAGATCAAAATATCCTTTCTTTGCTAAAAAAAAAGTAAGTGGCCAATACCAGTTATCTATTATGCCTTTACTTTGGAAATAAAAAGATAGTAATTTTATGTCATTCCTAAGTTTTTAAATGTCAAATGTCTTCTGAATAAAATTCAAAAGTCTGGGAACAGAAATGAACAAAACTGGATTACATCTGTGAAATACTGTCTTGCCACTCTAGCGAGTTCCCTAGCCCCATAGGAGGCATTTAGGGATATTTATTGAGCTTAAATTTTGCATAGTTGCCCCACGAGCAGTTTATGAAATTGAAAGAAGTTTGAAAGAAGAGATGACTCTTACATCTGCACTTCAAAAATGTATAAGCATTGGTCAGAGTCAGTAGATCAGAAAAGTTATTTGTAGTAGGGGAATAGCTGTTGCAAGCACCAAAGTATGTGAAACAAAATAAAATGAAAGCAAATGTTACAGTTGGAAATGTGAGGCTCATAAAATAAAGTTATTCCTACCCTTAAATTATCTTTACATTCCTATGCTTTCTCTCAAAAAAACCTACCTGTAAGATTAAAAATACAGAGTAGCAAAAACAAAAAGGTCACTACGGTGCATCAGTAACACTGAGTACTTTAATATATATCATTGCCCTATATCTTATTATTGATTTTTACACATAAGAAAAATTTAGAAGTTTAGAATTTGCCCATATCATAATAGAAAGAAGCAGAATCAGAGTTAAAATTCAGATGTATCCAGCTTTAAAGGTGCTGTCCTCTCACACCACTCATCTCATGTAGCCTCTTTTCATGGAGAAATGTTGAATAAAATAGACTGAGCTTATATTCCCAGCCCTACTACCTATATGATTAAACAAGTCCTTTATTTCTGCCAGTCTTGGTTTTCTCGTCTGTAGCTTTTGAATAAAGGATCTTCTAATATCCTCGGGAAATTATAGGATTTTTAATATGATAATACGTGTGAATATTGTTTGTCATTTGTAGTAGACAATATAAATCAATTTATTATCCTAAGTCATATAATAGCTTACTTTTAAGGTTTACTTTTTATTTTCGTGCAATAGTAAATCAAAAAAAATGAGTCTCTAGTGATAGGTCTGGGGTCACTAGATTTCTGTATCTCTAAAATGATGTTCTATTCCCTAGTTTGTTTTTTTGTTTGTTGGTTTTGGTCTGAAATAAGAAAGTAATAATTACAAAACACTGCAATAAAAAATCACATGTGAAGATGTCCACTTTACATATTACCTACAACTTTTGATTCTACCTTTATTCTCTGAAATGAAAACTTTCCAACAACCTACAAAACCACATTACATTGGCAACTTGCGTGCAAGATCATATATTACTCTGTTATAAGATGTGTTTCTCTTTTGGTCTGACTTAAACTCACATTTTTATGGCATATGGATATATCATAAAAGTTTTAAGCAATTTTGATTAGAATAGTGCTCTAATGACATAGCTTATCTCTTCCTCTCTATTCAAGAGATATTTTTCCATTGATTTAAAGAAAGTACAGAAAAAATTTCTCATAAATTTCTCTTATTAAAATGCTTACTGAGTTCCCTGTAAATTAGTATTCATTGTGATGTAGATATCTGGTTTTCAATTGTTGGAAAATACTGATGCCAAGATAGATTTTGGCTCA